ATATATATATATATTTATTTATTTATTTATCACTCTGTCCGACTGGTCTCGGGCATTATGCATGATGCCTCATTTATCACTTTGTCCATAACATATATAATGATCTATTTATTATTTACACATGTAATCATATAGTAATGATAACATAACATTTCCCATTATGTTCATAATCAATAAGGAGTTATATTGAAACATACATAAAAAAATTATTCTTTAATTGCTTCTTTGATATTCATAATTGTTTTAATTAATTAAAATTAATAATGCTAAAAATTAATAATGCATAAAAATAGTGATTGTTTATTTAGCATATAACTCTATTTATACTTCTTTTCCTTAAAATTTGTTCTTATAGAAAAATTACTTCTCAATTACTTCTTCTATTTCCATTGTTAAATTTAAAATTTTTTGAATTTTTATTTATAAAAATTAATAAATATTGATTATTTGATGCGTATGATGTGATCACTATAGGTTCGCTATTATTTCGCTAGATGGCTCTACTTACCATTTCTAAGTTGATAATAAATGGAAATTAGAAATTACTTTTTCGGGTTTTCATGGAATAATTTTTAAAAATTCAACAAAATTAAAAATTTAACAATGGGAATAAAAGGAGCAATTTTTCTATAAAAGCAGATTTTAAAGAAAATAAGTGTAAATAGGGTTATCTGCTAAGTAAACAGTTGTGACTGTTTTCGTGTAATAGCATTATTAATATTAATTAATTTAGTGGAACAATTACGGATATTGAAAGAGCAATTAAAGAGCAATTTTTTAGTGTATGTTTATATGTCAACAATTACTTTTCTCAACACCAATTTCTTATTGATAGCGTACAGTATTTTAAAATAGCATTATTAATTGCTAAAGAAAGTTAATAGATAGTTCTTCAAATACACAACCATGGAACCATTTTCCATGCATTTCCCATAAAGTTCTTTGAGAATCGAATTCAGTGTGCAAGGGATCGAAAGCTGACCCCATGTGAAGGGTGGCTTTGTGGTTCACGAAATGGGGCTTCACCCTTCATAAAGGAGGTGGAGAGTACACCATGATGCCTTCTGAATTTGAACACGCCATTTTGTAAAACAAGAAGTAGTAAAAATTCGTAAATATTGCATGTCAAATTATTAATTTTACATATTGATAAAAGTTAGACACAAAAAATTCAGCTATTAAAAATTAGACAAAAACCAGTGAATAATATTATATATTTTTAGATGAAAGAGGAAACATTTAAAAAAATAATAAAATAGTTATTTTTATAATAATAAATTATTGGATAAAAATATTGAATTCCAAATATTTCAGTACACAGAATATTGATAAAATGTACATGTTATTTGATAATTAAATATTAAATACATTTTATATTAAATTAATACGATCTTTTTACAAAATTTATGCTTTTATAAAATATTTGTAATTTTCGTAACAGACAAATGTGAAATAGTGAAACATTCGAATAATATTACTTTATTATTTTAATATATTGTTATTGTAACAATTTGTAATATAAATTTGGCATTAATTTGAAGATTTAGATAAATAGTCGACGACAAAAAATAGAAATTGAAAATAGAAATTTGATTATAATACTTATAATAACATGTGAACAATCGCAATACAAAACACACATGCAACACATAAAATACACATCATTGATAATTGATTATATATTTTGTACATGCATATATTCTGATTTTTAAAATATTTCTTATGTGACATAGCACATAATATTATAAACAGAATTTTGCCGCCAGTTATCGTTCGAAATAATGTAAATACTTTGATGCGACGTAAATAGATATTAATGCAAAAAATAATTATTTATAAAATTTGATATTTATGATATGTAGCTGAAAATATGCTATTAATTTTTAATTTTTTACATCTTTTAATTTTTAACATTTATTGAATTAAAATGTTTTTTTCTTGACGAAAAAAGTGAAGTTAAAATAAACACATACATACATACATACATAATCAAAATTAGACCATAAAGATAGTTCTCAGAAATTCTCTTATAAAAACGTAAAAGAATAATTAAATTTGTTGATATATATTTTATTTTTTTTATTATTATATAAACATTGTTGATAAAACTGACATTTTATATGCAATTACTTTACTAATTGTATATGAACGTATTTTATTTTATAGTATAGGAGCAAATATATAGCACAGCCATTTTTTCTATAATAATAATAATTATCTATTCTAATAATAATATAATCTATAATTTTTCTAATTCCAAATTCTTTTAACTAATTACGCTAAATACTTTGATATCTATTAAAAATTTGTATATGCATTGATGTGTGTATTGTATAATTTACACTGCAACATACGTTGATGTATGTTATAATTGTATCTATAATTTACGCTGAAAAGCGTAATTGCATGTGAAAAACTAATCCGACAAAATCAAATTTTTTAACGAATTATCATCATAAAAGATGCATTTCTTTTGTTTGCAATTTTTCTGTCCCAACTAATGATGCCTCCAATTCGCAAGATTGCAATTCTTGCCATCATTTTTTTATTGCACAACGTGCTCTTATACTCTACACTTTAATAATTGATGATCAAACACAAAACATACATTTTTATTTTTTAATAGTTTTATTAAACATGTTTGTTTTGTGTACAAAATAGGTTTTATCAAAATAATACATAGTAAAAATCAAATATCGCATCTAATGTTAATTATATTCAATTCCAGTGTAATTTGTCTAAACTTTAATTTATTTAATTCAGTTTTAAAGAATACTAAATACTACATAAATTAATTACATCTTTATTAACATGTATTATTTATTCTTGTTATTAACACTTTCATATTAGATACTTCAATAAATAAATATGCTACGCCTCTCTATAAATTTTAATTTCCATAAATGTGTTTTATATTTCTATCATATTTATCTCTATTAGTATTTTGTAATCTATAATTAATTTTTTTTCTTCAAAAGAAATTATTATTTTTAACACTAACTAGTTCATTAGATATCTTTGATATCTCAAAATATATGATTATACTAATCAGTTTTAAATTATTTTTTTTTATTATTTTCACTATTTCTAAATACTATGTAAAAAATTCGACAAACACTAATTTTTTTAATAAGTAAATAAAGAATGAAATAAGTAAAATAATTAACAAAAAATAGTAATTATTATTATAAATAAAAATAATTGACACTATTTTTTTTAGTGTTTTGTATATTAACAGCATCAAATTGCGCTAAATTAAATGCCTAAGTAAATATTAATTAGCAAGTGTTTTCGTATTTTCGAGTAGGGTCACACACGTGCCTGTCGGTGTCGGCTCCGAAATATCATAGAAATATCGCGGTGGCCATAAGAGCGGCCTGCGGAATATTCATGGGACCTGGGCCTGAATTCTAGGGGACGCTAGCGTTCGTTGAGCGACTATACTATTTCGCGGAAATAGTATAATTTTGTTGGCCGTAAAGGTTAAACGAGGGTTCTTGGTCTTCAATTATCAGGGACCGTCCTCAGGCAGCAGTATGCCGAAATATTTTTAAGACGCTCGGCTTTCAAATGATCAGTTCGAGTTAAATTTTATAACTGAAACCCAACCGTTAATATTTATGACCTGTAAGCTATAATTCGTGAAAATATCGATCGGATTTGACGCTAGTGTTAAAAGTAAATAAAAAAAATTGATTTGTGGCGTTAGAGAATAGTTCGTAGCGGCATCTAAAACAATCTTTATCATTTAATTACGGCACTTTTCGAGAAAGCAAAAAGTATGTTAAAAATTAAATTATAATTATAACTAAATAAATGTAAGAAATTTTATAAAGTGGCTTAACTTTTTACAATATTTATTTCAGCAAATATAAGATGGAATATCGTTTAGCATTACGAGATAATATTTCGTATTAAATTAAGCGAAAATATGCTATCATAACTTATGAAAAATTCAAGAGGGTCTTTTCAGAAGACGCATTTTCCAGAGTACCACTTTAATGACTAGTTTAACATAAAACATTATTACATGTCGCTGAACGATGTCCTGTTTTTCCATTTTTATTGTCAACTATCTATGTATGGGTGTTTTCGTTTATTCAGCAACGATATAAATTTGTCTCGAGAAATTTATTCGAAATATAATATATAATTACATAATTTGTTCTAAAAAAGTAATCTTGATTTTTTTCTTTTGATAAAACAGTGAAAATCTTTTTTTAGAAATTGTTAGTAATATTATAAACAATATCGCCATATGATAAACAATAATGTCGATGCTGATGATTTGTGTCAATTCAAGAAATACTTTTATTAACATATATATATATTTTATTTATGTATGCTCTCATAAATGTCGTATTAGATGATTTCTATGATATTTTTCGTAAATGACGCATATAATTTCG